TTTTTTCCCCCAGTCCGGATTTGGTGAATAAAAATGAAGGAGCTTTGACTAGTCTCTCTTTCATCATTTAATGTCTTTAGCTCATTAAACAAGTAAAAACGGCTGCCATGGCAGATTCAGGTTCTTCTTGTGGGCAAAGTCTGTAAAAAGTTTGTTTTGACATATACTCCACAGAGAAAGAGGCTGGTGCCTTGGAGTCCAAAGGATAATATCCTAAAGAGAAGTGTCTTCTGTGCGCCAGAACGAAAATTGTGTCTTTCTGTTCAAGATCAATCGCTGAGGTTACTTAAAAAAAATAAAATAAAATAAAGCCATTCTGTCTCTTTGCCGCATCTGCCAGTTCACACAGAGCCTGTTAGCTGGCACGGCTTGGCAAAGCAGGGGAACTTTTTGCCATGTCGAGATGAGGCGTTCTTGGGAGATTATTTCTCTTGGACAATTCACATCATTTGTGGTCTCTGCATTGTGTCTTGATGTGGAGAAGAATACCAGTGAGAATAGCCAGGCATGTAGCTGTTGGGAGGCATGTTGACTCCTTTGGCAGAGGCTGAAACGTCCCAGACTGGAGGCAGAGCCGGAGAGCGAGGGGAGAGGGCGGCGGAGCCGGGTAGAGGGTCACTCTCGTGGGGGTTGCTACCTTGCTTCAGCAGCTTCTTGAATTTGGAGCGCTTGTTCTGAAACCAGATCTTCACCTGTAAACCAAGAGGCAGCAGATATTAGGCTGCCGTCAGCACCAGGGCGCGGCAGGGGAGATCCCGGGGGTCGTGGGTTTGCTCTGGAGAAGGTCTTAAGAGCCAACGGCAGTCGGGTGTGGAGTTGGGGATGGGGAAGGAGGGGTAGCTACTGCTGCTCTCGAGCTCTGGATGCGGCTGGAGAGAACAGGAGAGGCAGAGCGGAGATGGAAAGCGAGAGGGATGCAGGTTTTAACCTGGAACGTTGTTTTCCCTGGGCAGGACAGATTGATGGAACTGCAACAGAGCACAGGCTCTGAGCTCTCCTGCTTTAACGCCTCATTCAGAATTTTGGAGGTAATTTGATCATTTGGGCAAACTGTTGTCAAACACGGGCAATCATATGATTTTGTGCCAGGAGACAGGAGCCAATGGACAAAGGACATCTTACAAGGAAATCGTGCATCTGAAAAGATGCATGATCAAGCGGTCCTTGCTGATGAGACGGGGGAGAAGGCACAGTGGAATCAGGATTATGGCTTTATTTTTAAAGTTGTTTTTAAAGGAATGAAAATTCTCTGTTCTCACGGAAAAATTTGCTATCAAGATTGCTTTGGGTCTCATCCTGCTCCTGATCCAGCAGAAATCCAGAGGAGGGAGCCTGCACTCAATGAGTTGTGCAAGGATCGGACCCACTCTGGCACATCAGAATTATTATAGGCATGATACATGTGTAAGATATATACATACACATATTTCTTAAAACCAAACAAACAAATAAAACAACTCCCACATGTATACTTGACCTTGAAAACTGTGCAAATGTAATGTTAGGGCATAAGCAGGGGTGCTTGTCTAGCTGCCTGAATTGGAATCGGGCCCCTAAATCTATGCGTGAGAGAGAGAAGGTGAGACAGCAAAGGAGAAACAGAACGTACATGCTAAGGATACTGAAATTCCATTTGTAAAACCACCAGGTCTATTCCCATGATTAATGTTTGCTGAGTATTTTAATGTTCACTGGCTGGAAGCGACTGTTATCGATGACAGTGATAAAATCCTGAAGTTATTTGTTAAGCTCATAAATTCACATGATTACATTTTACCCGAATTGATCCCATTTATCCGTGCCCTTCTCCGCAAACCTCAGCCTGGGAAGCCTGTAATGCCTCGTGTCTTTCAAGATTAAATTAGCAGAATGGCACAGCTACTCCAACCACACTTAACTATGGCTTAACCTGCTATAATTTTGTACACGGCTGTCTTTGATCTTCAGATCTATTATCACCTTCCGTACATTTTGCCCAAGGCTAACCACTGCATTTGCGTTAGTCATCCAGGATGAATTAACTATTGATTTTACAGGTATTTCCAACGTGTTCCTGCTTCCTCTCTACCTATAGGTTGCCACGAGGCAGCTTGGTTTTGCTTTTAGCTCTACCTCAGGCCCAGTCATTCCTCGCCTTTGTTTTGTTCTCCTTTTCACAGCCAGACAACTGCACCTCGGTCCCGGGATTATCCTAAAATAGAGGCAATTTTTAAAGGTTATATGTGGCACCAAAAGGGAGTATTTGCTTGCTTAGACGGCTGAGGGAAAGGCGCGTTCAGCTCCTTCTGCGGCAGACCGGTTTCTCTGTCGTGATAAGTCCTATAGCATATGGATGGAGGACCGTGAGCTTTAGCTTTCCTACCGTTCCCGCACAGAGGCCACAACGCCTAGGGAGCATCGTACTGTGCTTGGCCTTTATTATTCGCGCAGGATTTTCAGTGATTTGGGATTCCCAGTAATTACCTGTGTCTGGGTCAGTCCTAATGAGGCTGCCAGTTCAGCTCTCTCTGGAAGTGCCAGGTACTGAGTCTGCTGAAAGCGGTGATTTAAAGCCTGGAGTTGTAGACTAGAGTAAATGGTTCGAGGTTTCCGAATCTTTTTCCCTTTTCCATTGAATCGGATTTCACCGTTTTCAATCACTGTGGTTTTTTGCTGATCTGCAAACAAAACAACAGAGCTGAGACATCACCCTCCTTAGTTGTTTAAGGCGTTTTGGCTGCCGTGGCTCCGAAAAACCCAGCAGCCTGTCCCCACGCCGGATCAGCACCGTCGCGTACACACAGGCTCCAGCTCCTTAAAGGCACGCCGTGACACACTCTGCTGCTCGGGAGCTCCCGGGAGGAAAAACAACTCTCCGGGCATAGTGGGCACGCTGCCTTTCCCCCGGGGCGAAAACCAAAAAACCCATT